AAGAAGTGAAACCCAGCAATGCAGTGTGTATCATTGAATGTGATCTTAACCTGGATTTTGATGCTCCAGAGGGTTACGTGGAGAAGCCCAATCCTTTGCGGCAGCCGTCAACCTTTAAAGTTTGTTCATTGTCGCTATTTTTTTACTTCAAGTATTCTCATTAGATTTTTGAACACTCCAAAAAACGTAATTAGGTTCAGTTTGTTTGTAATACCTCTTTTGCTACTGCCGTTGTACTTTAGCCTCCTGCTCCTGCTATGAAATCTTTGCCCGTCGCCAATGGTGCACATTTCTCAGCATTCTCTGGAACTGGGCAGCGCCTTGATGGAAGGAAAAAACCTTCTTCGAACAGTTTGTGCAGTGATCAGGGTGAAGAACTGCTCAACACTCTGACTTCTCTGCCTCCAGTTGTATGCATCGAAGACTACAAACCAGGTCAAAATATATGTCTTGCTCAATATTTTCACACTTCTATACGTTTGTTTAGGGAAGTTGTCCTTTATTCGCTATGATTACAAATCACGATTTGAGACGGAGCGTGAAATGCAGGAATCGAAGCAGTCTGCAGGGAAAAAGGCAGTGCCTTTTGAAGGTTCGAGTGCCACTATAAGAAGGAGATACTGATGTTGTTCACTTTCACAATGAATACTGTACAGATATATATAATGTACCGCCAACAATGTATCGTCAATGGTGTAATGTCTGGAATAAGTTAATTTTGGCGGTATGTCTCATTCCTATTGTTCACATCTTCGTCACTGCTTTTACATCTCTTTTCCCTCGGTCGTATTTTGCAAGAGGTGCATGTCGATTTATTTGTGATTTTAATGTATTAAACTGGTACTCTGAAATGAAGTAATCTTGAGTTCGTAGTGATACTTTCGAATTGCCGGCTCGGCAACCATACATCGCGACGCTGTCCCATCTTCAGTGCTCCAAAAATTCAGATTAAACAAAAAAAAAACCCCTGTATTCGTTGAAATTGTTCGATTACATGCATCTTGCATGCTAATTTTAAAAAAGTCACGGGTGCGCTTCTTGTTAATCAGGCCTCGGCAAGGTCTCTAATTAATCCTTACGAGAGCGAGGGTCCGCAT